TAAATAATAAAATAAATAAATAATAATAAATAATGTATTATCATTTCTTAATTCATATTTATTATGACAAATGAACATGAGAAACACCAACATGTGAAATAAATACAACAAATATAGAACTTGTCCATTTCAAAACAGTCAGCGTTGGTATTTTATAAAGCAGAAAAAAAACAACAATTGTAAAATTCCGCAAACAAACACTTTCCAAAACAACAAAAGCAATTAAAAAAAACCTTTCGAACTGCAAATGGAAATTAAAGTCTATGTATTCAGCTCAGCTACAAATCCTTAGCGCTTCTTTTTGCTTGCTTTTGCACCACTGGTGTAACCCCAGACTTGGATTTAAATGTCTTGGGATCGTGTGAAGCAACAACACACTGTGTACTTTGTGTTTCAGACTCTGGAATAAGGTCCCACGTTTTTCTCTGTGTCATTTCCTCTTGATGCTTGAGTCTATTTATAGTCTAAAGAAACATATTTTTAGCTCAGATTTAGAGTCCTACATGGACTCAAATGCTTCGGTTTTAGTGTTTCAATAGGACTCAAATACGTTGGTTTTAGTGTTTCAATAAGACTCAAATACGTTGACTTATTTTTTGAATCTCACTAAATCAGGGTTGTTGAGTGTAGGCCTACAAAAATAATAAAAAAATATTAATAATAATAATAAATATAATATAATATAATATTTTTGTAGACCCGGACTAACTAAATTATCCTTATTAAGTAAATACTAAAAGGGTGAATTATACGTTTAGTACTTAACCTATTTTTTTTTATTTTTTTAATACTTATTTTTTTCAAAACCACTAACGATAGTGCTCATGTGGCATGACATGTCATTTTTTTATTTTTTTTTTCTTTTCGCATCACCTTTCTATTTTTCTGTCATTATTTTTTAATTAATTTTATTCAACCAATTAAGTGATGACATGTGTCACCAATTATGGCGATTCTTGTTCTTAGAATGAATTGAACCTAGGTCTCTTACATAAAATGCAAAGTGCTCAACAATTGAAGTAAGCTAGTCATTTAAGTTAATTTCACCACATTTTGTATCTAACTTATATATTAGTATCCCAAATTTTCGATGATTATAAAAATTTGAATATGAGACACTTCAAATTAATGATTAAAAGCTTAGTCATTTAACTATAACGTGAATCTATTTTTATTATATCAAATTTAATACTTACTTATATCATTAATAAATTAAAGAATAATTTCACTTTATTTGAAAATAAAAATAATTAAATAATTATTTATATATGTTTATAAAATTTATATTAAATAATTCTAAAAAAGTATATATATAATATTGCAAAAATATATTAAATTATTTTTTAATTTTAAACTCATATTATTATTTATTTGAAATAATATTAATTATTTATTTGAAATAATATTATTTTTAAATTATTTATTTAATTTTAAATAATATTTTATGGAACCAAAGTGATAGCTGGATACTAAACTATAATTTACCCTAAATTTTAAATTATTTAAAAATAATGAAAATAATTTAAAAATAATATTATTTCAAATAAATAATTAATATATTTTTAAAAATAAATAAATATTTTTATGATATTATAAAATATACTTTTTTATAATGATTTCATATAAATTTTATAAAAATATAAAAATTATTTAATTAATTTTTTATTTCTTAATAAAGTGAAAATTAGTCTTTTAATTTAATAATGATATAAGTATTAAGTTTAGTATAAAATTCACATTATAGTTGAATGACTAAATTTTCGTTCATTAATTTAATTTGCCTCATATTTGGATTTTATAATCATAAAAAATTGATTATATGGTGATACCGTTATATAAGTTAAATAATAAATGTAATAAATTTATCAAAATAATTAGCTTAGCTCAATGATTGAGTGTTTTGTTTCTCATTTAAGAGACCCAAGTTAAATTTATACTAAGAGCAATAATGATTTTTTATATTTTTATCTCTATAGGTGATGACACATCTCTCCGAGAAGTTGGTTAGCTGCCTCTCATTTTGTTCTAGGATTATTCCTATTTGTGGGTCATTTTTGGCTTGCGGGAATAGCTCCCACAGTCGCAGCGGGATTTGAAAAAAGAATTGATCGTGATTTTGAGCCCGTTCTTTCTAAAACCCGTCTTAACTAAGACAGGAGATCCAATGTTTAACATATGAATCAATTTGAATACATTATATATATAGAAGGAATCATGTGATATTTAAAAAGTATTTTTGTTTTCCTTTTGTTTCAAACATGTCACAACTTAATTGGTTAAATAAAATTAATTAAAAATATAATGACGAACAAAGACAAAGTTGATGTGGTAATTAAAATAAAAAAATAACATGCCATGCCACATATGCATTGCCGTTAATGTTTAAAAAAAATTAAAGTTTAGATACTAAAACGAAATAAAAGTGACAATTTAGATACAAAACGTCTAATTTATCCTTTTAATATTTACTTAATAAAGACAATTTAGCTACTTGTGTGTTTCGACATATTATTTTAGTGGTGTGCTACAGTGTGTGTGCTGTAGAATTCTCTCTTACTACACTATTACATTGCTCTTTAACCAATATTAAATATGTTCCTAGTTATCAACCGTCGTGTATCATAGCCTTTAGCATAGTCAACATTATAATATACAATCACCTTACATTCATTTGTTTATTTATTATTGAGTTGGAACTCGTCATGTGGGCGTGATGAATTTGCTATGCACTGTAACATTTGACATTTATTTTATATCTCAAAATAAAATCCGAAAATCGGATTCACCTAATCTACTAATTTTTTTACCCCGGCTTATTAGGTCAATTTTATCGTAAAATTGGTCCTATTGTTGAAAAAAAGGTGTTAGATGGTGAATGAGTTAAGTATTGGAATGATAACCGCTCAGGTCTTGAAGCTACCAAATCTTGATTTGTTGTTAATTATCCATAACTCCATGTGTATATTAAATACATATCATTAAATGTTTTTTACTATTTTAATAAATTTTAACTTTTTCAATAGTTTTACATTTTTAATAATTCCTTAACTTTTAAAGATTAAATAAATTTGACTTTAAATTAAAATATATTATTTCTTTGAACTCCATGAAAAAATCAATTGTGTTCTCAAAGTTTGTTAAAAGTTAGTTTTCTCTCTATCTATGTTATTATTTATATATGAATTAACACGTCAATATCATAAATTGTCACATCAACATATATTAAAAGTTATGTCAATCATATTAATCGAAACGTTAATATTAGTCAAATAAAAAATTAATACAACTAAATGATTTTCAAAATCAAGTGGTTGTAATTAAAAAATAGCGACAAATATACTAATTTAAGTTTACTTCATGGTCAAAATAATTCCTCAAGCTTTTCTTAGACACTTTAAATTTTTACGTTTTACTTATTATATTATTTAATAAAAATAATTAAAATATTTTTACATGTCGACAATATAATTAATGATTTCATTCAGAAAATGAATATTTTTGCCAAAAAAGTAAGCATCAAAGATTAAATTATTTTTGAAAATATAAAAATTATTATTTAAAATTTTGTCTTACTAACGGGTATAAATTTCATTTATAAATTATTTTTTTTAATAATTTAAGTAACTAGAAAATAATATCTATTTAATTTTTTAATCAATTAATTATATATTATCATGTGTGCTAGAACTTAATTTTTTTTTTAAAAAATAATAACATATTCACTCTGCAGAGCAAAATTCGTTTACTTTGTCATATGCTTAATTCAAATTCTATCATAACAAAATTAATATCTTATTTTATTAAATATTATAATAATATAAGTTACAATAAATTATCTTAACGATAAACATATGAGTTAAAACGTAAATTTACCTATAAAAAAAGTCGGGGTAAAAGTAAAAAGATGTTGTTGTTGATATTTATTATGGGTAAAGCACACTAATAGTTCCACAACTATAGGGTGTTGTTCTATTGAGTTCATAACTATTAAAAGTTATAAAATAGTCATTTAATTATATGATGTTATTTGGTTGAGTCATTGATTATTAAAAATTATAAAATAGTCACTAAATTATTCATATGTTTCAAACTCATCCTTTTTCGTTAAAACATTGATGGTAGTCAAAGTTAGACATGTTAGTTAGTTTGTTACATATTATTTTGTTGGATTGTTTTCATTTTAATTTGTAACGTGGGGTACATAAACCCACTAATTGTATTGGGTTACATCAATAATATTTTCTAGTATATTTTCCTTTTTTATTGTTTTCTAATAATAAAATCTCTAACTAACAAACACTGCAAGTTCTCCTCCTAACATCTAGTTCAAATTGTCATTAATTTTTTAACGAAAATGATGAGTTTAGAACATATGAATTGTCATTTGAGTATTTTGTAAATTTTTCATAATTTAGGGATTTAACAAAGTAACGCTCTATAATCGAAATATTATTTTATAACTTTTAATAGTTGGGAGACTAAATAAAATAGAACTTTATAGTCAGGGGGCATTTGTTTACTTTACCCATTGGTTATTTACTCATATGAGTTCAACATTGGCACGTGTGAAACAGAACAGACACAACTACCAGTCAGTGACGAGGAAGAAGTTCGGTTTGAAACCCAAACCAACCACATCTTTCCCTTTCATCTACTCTCGTCCCAACTAACATTCCAAACACCCCCATCTAATCCTCAAATTATTACAAAAAGGTTTACATATTTTTAAAAATCATAAACTTAGTCACCAAATTTCTGATTATTTCCACACTTAATAGATTAATTTCACTGACATTGAAATCTAATGTATTCAAATTCATTTATATGGATAATTTTTATAATTAAAAAGAAAGTACTACCTTTCCTTTCATTTTTTTTTCCGTAGTAAACAAAAGCTATGAACTTTCACATTCTCAGTTTCAGACACTAAACATACATTGAAGATTTATGTTTTACTCTGGTCTGAAAATAAACGTATTTCTCCATGAAATCAATTTCAGCTTAAACCCCTTTCTTCTTCCTGTCTGCAAAGCTTTTTTTTTCTGGGTTCCTTTAATAAGTTCAAGAACAGAAGGAAACATCATTTCTTGTATATATACTTACATGTATTCACCAAACATAAGTTTGTTGTTTCATCTGTTAACTGGTTAAGGTTTCTCCTTGTTCTTCATTTTTTTAATATACATGTAGATCTTATTCTTCTTTCCTACTAATAAAGTTATGTTTTTCTTTTTCTCTCATTAAATTCCTGGGTCTATTATGCAGACCGAGCTGAAAAGAGTGAAATTAAACGAGATTTAATGGAAGCAGAAACAAGTTGCTATTTTTGTTTCTTATCTTCTGTTCCGGTTAGTTTCCATCCTCTTTAGCTCTATTTTTATTGTTATATCTCTGAATTTATGCTCAATAATTTTCTGGGTTTTAGATCAGAGTCTAAAATTTAGGCTCTGTGGGAAGTTTGTTAATCTAATTATTAACCTACAAAGTAAGTTTTTGAGGTCTTGATTACCATTGAAGAAGACTATCTATTAGCCAAAAGTTTTCTTCTAAATACTATTAAGGTGAAGCCTTTGTGATTATTTGCTGCAAATTTTTTAGCATCGTTTTACATGCTATCGGCTGGTCAGAAAATCTGGGAAATAATATGGAAATTGTTTCATAAAATGAAAGTTTATAGCATATTTCACCTCAATATCATTTTTCTAAGTGAAAAGATTGCTTCGAATTGCTATTGGAGAGTTGAATTTGAACTTTTGCCTGTGTCCTAGTTTGACTGCTGCTGGTATGTTTTGCAACAGCCAATTGTTTTGTCTTCGGGATGCCAAAGATCTGAGAAGAAGCTTGTAGTCGTTTTTTTCCGATTATAGAGGCGTAGAGGTGATCATATATTCATATTAGCTTCGGAATATGGTTCTATGTTGAACTAGAGCAAATTCTCATGTACTCCATAAGCAGATTTTGCTACTGATATATATATATATATATATATATATATATATCTGTGTGTGTGTGTGTGTATTTGTTTCGCTTAGAAGATTTATCAATCTCATTTTGTAAACACATATTCATATGTTGATTTAATCTCCTGTTTATATAACACTGCAACATGTAGGTCTGAATATGTTGATTTTGAGCCGTGAATTACCGAAGTCGACACCTACAAAGAGTGACCTCTAACAAATCTTCTGGTCATCGTCTTTCACCAAGGTTTCCTTCTCGAGAAGACTAATACATATTTTCTACTGTTATCTGGCTTGATCGGTTTTGGAGGGGTGGCGTAAATTGCGTTTCCAAGGCACATTATGCTCAAGTAGAACATAATTAGTCCATATAGATACACTTACTGAAATGGAGGTTAAAGAAGCAGAGATGATAGTTATAGCTAAACCAGTAGGTTCAAGGCCTACCTGCTCCAGTTTTAAGTCCTTCTCAGAGCTCCTCGCAGGGGCTATTAATGCTTCACCACCTATTGTCTGTTCCAAAAACATAGTGCCTGCGATTTGGCCGAAGACGGTGAGGTTCAAGCCGGTTGTCAATCGTGCTCCATCTGCCACAGTTTCTTCCCAGGTTTCCTCTTCATCTGGATATCTTTCTCATTTCAAGATCTTTCAACCTCTCATCTTTTCGCTATTGGTTGATTTCAGGCAGAACAGTCCGGGATAGGCATTTCGATCTCATCAGATAAGGTTTTAAAATCCGATGTCAAATCTACCACGACGGTGTACAAACCACAGGCAAAGCTTGTATCAAAGACTACTGTTTCTCTATTAGCAAACATGGTCAGTCTGTCTACATTTTCTTAATTGGTCAGTTTCTCCTGTCGGATGCTCATTACCAATGCCGTTCTCGTAGATTTGACACCTTTTTTTTACAGGGAAACTTCGGTGCTAGCAATGAACTAACAGTGCAATCAATAGAGGTACCAGCTAGACCAGAACTTAATCGAAATACTTCTTCACATACAGAAACAGATCAGACAAGTGAACCCTCAAAGGTGGGATCTCAGAACATGGAGGACCCCAAAGTATTACCTGTGGTAGCGAACAGCGATCGACCTTCTTACGACGGCTATAATTGGAGGAAATATGGACAAAAACAAGTTAAAGGAGGTGAATATCCGCGTAGCTACTATAAGTGTACGCATCCGAATTGTCCAGTGAAGAAGAAAGTTGAAAGATCACTTGACGGACAAATAGCTGAAATTGTTTACAAGGGTGAACATAACCATTCAAAGCCTCAGCCTGCGAAACGAAACTCGCCTCAAGGGGTGGGATTTAGTTCTGATGGAACCAGTCAAGATGCCAACAACATCCCCTTGTGGAGTAATAATTATAGTGAAAGGAACGAAGGTTCCGAGAGTAGAGTTGAAAATCGTAATGAAGTTGGGTTGTATATTCCTCCGGCTTATCAAGGAAAAGCTCCACTACCTTACGAATATGTTATGACCGGAGCTGTTAATGCCGGTGGAACTTTCGAGACTTCGGTTGGACTAAGCGGGGAATGCGAGGAAGGAAACAAAGATGGAGCAGATGACGAATCTAGAAGTAAAAGAAGGTGAGAAAATTAGCTGATATAAAATTCATTGTTCGTCCCAAGAAATAGCATGATTTCCTTGATCCGAAAACATTAAGAAAATCGGGAAAAAAGCCTGATTTACATTGAATAACCGTGATCTGTTTCCTTCAGGAGAAATGAGAATCAATCAAGTGAAGTGGGCACCTTAGGGGAATGCATACAAGAACCTCGTGTTGAAGTGCACAGTTGTACTGATTCCAAGATCATCGGAGACGGCTTTCGATGGAGAAAATATGGGCAGAAAGTGGTGAAGGGAAATCCATACCCCAGGTTGAAATAATACACTTCATATACATACATACATCATATATAGGATCTCTTAATTTGGCACTCTCTAAACCTTTGTCATGCAGTTGGTTCAAGGTTGTCTGTTGAAACAATGTAAAATTTCAGCCTCAAGATTCCGAAAAACTACAAAAGATTCTTTGATTACCGGACATGGATCAATGTCCATTAAAATCGGAGCTGTTAACATATGCTAATTATTTAGTTTTTGCCCCTGTTTTCTTGCCGAAGTTACTACAGCTGCACTAATCTAAAATGCAATGTACGGAAGCATGTGGAAAGAGCATCGGATGATCCAAGAGCTTTCATTACAACATATGAAGGTAAACATAACCATAAGATGCCACTTAGGAACACCAATCATGCAGCCGCCACCTCTGATCCCGATTCCAATTCGCCTGCAATCAAAGACGAGCGATGAGGACTTCGTATTTGGTCTCGAGAAAGGCTCCGATCAAGGGCACCAAGAGGCATATCGAGGAGATCGATTACCAAGCTGACGGTATACAACTTTCTCCTACAAAAGTTGCTTTATGAAGGCCAGTTTTCCGGACTTCCTGCCTTCAGCTTATTGCATAATTTTTATTTTTATGAATAATTTAATTTTCCCATCATATAATAACCGAAAACTTTGCACATCTAATGTCTCATATATCATTAGCAATACTGTCTTGTTTCAGTTTTTCTAGATCCTAAACTCTCGGGTTATTGTTATGCCAGTCATTTATGTAGCTTATGATGCTCTATGCTATCCTTTACCCTTTTTTTTGGCTTAATATGTTAGAGTATAATAATGCAGCTGACTACAGCTGATTGCAGCTGCCTACAGCTGATTGCAGCTGACTACAATTGATTAGCTGTAACCGTTTCTGATTAAGTTGTTATAATTGAAGTCTGTTAGTTGGGCCAGTTAGTTAAGCCCTGTGTTATATATAGTGGGCCTGTCCAATATACATGACCCAATATGAAGTATCCTTTCTGTAATTTCTGAACCTTGTATTCGTTTCACATATTCAGTAAAGTTCTGTTTACATTGTTTTCTTTCTGTTGTTTTGATTCTCTCTTCCCTCTTTCAGTTTACCATAGCTAGTATCATTTTCATTTACTGTCATGGTATCATTCGCCTAAATTCCTGCGGCCTTTTTCTTCCGTTCTGCATAATTTTCCTTGCTTCCTCGTCGAGTTCTCTTCGGTTGCGCGTCGTCTAGATTCTTGAGTCGTTGCATCCTCTTCGGTTCTACTTTGCGATTATGGTGAGATTGTTCTACTTATGCTCTCAATTGCACTTGGTTCTTGATTCGCCTAATTTCCTTCGGCGCTCGTTACTTCCGCTCTGCTGCAGTTGTGTTGTTGTGCCCTAACTGGCCCTAAATTCATAATCTGGTGCAAATTGGTTCAATTTTTTAGGTCTCTTGACAATTTGATTTTCGTCTATGCTTATTCTTAGGATTGATTTGTTGTGTCTTCTCTAGTCTGGTTGTTCTTCAGTTTCTGCTTATTTCGGTGTTTTGTCTGTGCTCTTCGAAGGATCTTCGACTGGTGAGATCGTTCTTATTCCTTGATTGTTAGCTTATTGCATTCAGCTCTCTGCTGTTTTTCTGGTTGCAAACCGGTGATTTGTCTTCTGCTCTACATGGCAAATTCTGTTGATGAAACTGTTGTAAATACCACTGGTAGTTCTGCCTCTTCTACTAGGTTGTTCTCTACTAAGAAGATCAATGTTACTTTAGATGACCACAATTATTTGATATGGCATCAACATTTTTTTCTCCTTATTAAAACACATAGGCTTCAGAAATATATAGACTCAAATGTTTCCTGGCCTACACAGTATATTACTTCAAATGGTGTAGTTAGCTTGAATCCTGAATATGAACTGTATGATGAGCAAGATGGAGCACTTGCCTCATGGTTGGTCTTTACTGTTAGTGAGGAAGTGTTGCCTCATCTCATAGGTCTTAATACTGCAGCTGAAATCTGGAGTACACTGCATAGGTTATACAGTGGCAAGACTACTTCTAGGTTAATGTCTTATAAGAGAATGCTTCATTCTCAAAGGAAGGTGGAGCTGAGTATGAGAGATTACTTGATGAAAATCAAGTCTGTTTGTGACAATCTAGTTAGCTGTGGTGAGATAATTTCAGAAAATGAACATATCATTGCCATTTTAAATGGATTGCCACCTGAGTTTGAGTCAGTTATCACTGTTATAACTGCTACTCCCACTCCTCCTGACTTAAGGTCTGTTAGCACTATATTACTGGATGCTGACACTAGACAGTCACATTCCTTCAACCAAGTCACTGTTTGTGCTCATGTTGCTACCCAATCTGCAACTGATCAAGTGATCCCTAATAATTTGTCACAATCTGAATATCAAAATAAGAGTGAATTTGTTGAGAATGCTGGTCAAAACTTCAATAATAATAGCAACAGTAATAGGGGTAGAGACCGAGGGCGGTTCTCATCCTCAAGACCACAATGTCAGCTGTGTGGCAGAATGGGACACATTGTTGAAAGGCGTTATTATAGGTTTGACATGAGTTATAAAAATGAATCATCTCATCCCCCACAGAATAGCAATAACAGAGGTTATTCCAATATTCAAGCCAATGTCAGTTCTTATAGTTCAAACAATGACACCTTCATCCCTTATAATTCCATGAACTATACTCCTTCACCTTTGATAACAGGCCCACAAGGTCCTGTTTTTCGCCCAAAGTCCTTTCCATTTAATATTCATCAGCAAACCTGCCCAAATCCTTACAATATGTCCTCTTTTTCTTCTGCAAATACACCTCAGTCCATAGCCCCTATTCAGCCTCATGCCACATCACAAGCTTACATTGCTACACCTAAAACTGTGGATGATAATGCCTGGTATCCTGATTCTGGAGTAACACACCATATCACTAAAGATTTTAACAACCTATAGGTTAAAGATACTTGCTCTGGAACATGTAATGTAATTGTTGGTAATGGTAGTTCTCTATCAATACAGTCCACTAGTAACTCGTTTTTCTGTGCTAGGTCTAATAAGTTTCACCTAAATAAGTAATTGTATGTGCCTAATATCACTAAAAATCTGTTATATGTTTCTAAATTCACTTAGGACAATAAGGTTCTGCTTGAATTTTATCCTGATTTTTGTCAAGTTCGTGACCTGCACACTCGGAAAATTTTGCTTAAAGGAAGTGAAGATGGGGGACTGTACAAATTCAATATTGCCATGAATAAGCATGTTGACAGTGACTCTGGTTATAATAACAATTGTTTACCTACTGGTAATAGGGTTCGTATTAATAATTCTTCTCATAATTCTGTGTCTAATAATTCTGCTCATAATTCTGTGTCTTCAATAAGCTGCTATATTGTAAATACTAGTTTCTATGGATGTATGGCACAAAAGGCTAGGTCATCCTTCTAAAGAAGTTTTGTTTTCTGCACTAAAACACTGCAATGCAATTCCTTTTGATATAAATAAAGATCAGGTGTTGTGCAAAGCATGTCAGCTTGCTAAATCATATAAATTGCCCTTTTATGAATCACATAATGCTTACTCACAACCTTTAGAGCTTGTAGTGTCTGATGTATGGGGTCCTGCCCCTATGTACTCTAATGGATTTAAATACTATGTTACATTCATTGATGCACATAGTAGGTATACTTGGATCTATTTTTTAAAACAAAAATATGAAGTTAAAACTGTTTTTCTTCAGTTTCATAAACAGGTAGAAAGACAGTTTGGTGTCAAGCTCAAGGCATTTCAGTCAGATGGAGGGGGTGAGTTTGGTGCTCTTCAAGCCTACATGAAGGAGCAAGGCATTGTGCACAGGATGTCGTGTCCTTACACTTCAGAACAGAATGGCTTAGTGGAGAGGAAGCATCGACAAATAGTTGAGGTAGGTCTCTCTACGTTAGCTCAAGCTACAATGCCATTATGTTTTTGGAATGATGTTTTCTCTAGTGCAATTTTCCTTATTAATCGATTACCCACACGGGCATTGTCTGACATTTCGCCATATGAAAAACTTTTTCACAAAACACCAGATTATAGCTTTTTAAGGGTCTTTGGTTGTGTGTGTTACCCATTTCTAAGACCTTATAATCAACATAAATTTCAGTTTCGGTCCTCTGCTTGTGTCTTCTTGGGTTACTCTCCTACTCATAAGGGATACAAATGTTTAGATTCTAGTGGTCGTGTCTATGTGTCAAGGCATGTTCGCTTTGAAGAAAATGAGTTTCCTTATCAACAACTTCAAAACCTTCCTAGTACCTCCACTCCACAAATGACATACAATCCTCCTAAAACTGCACAAAAGTGTTCAAGTGTCAAAAATATTAGCTCCCAAAACAACCTATTTTATCATTATTTTCTTTCTATCACTAACACACACAATCACAAGTAAATTTTACCATCCTCCTCATTACCACAACAAATGCCAGAGTTGTCATCACCAATGTTAACGTCTCGTCCTTCAAATCTACCATCTTTTACGCCTTCAACATCATCACATTCATTCTCTTCATCACCACACAATGTACCTTCATCACAACCATCCACATCATCTTCATCTCATCCATCTACATCACTGTCACCATCTCCATCATCAACATCACTACCACCATCTCCATCTCCATCATTTCCATCTACATTACCTTCATCTCCACCACCACCACCACTGTCACAGCTAGTTCAGAATACACATTCCATGGTTACTCGTGGGAAGACTGGAATTTTCAAGCCCAAAATATTGCTTGCTGAGACAAGTCCTCAAGAGACGATTAGTGTCTATGAAGCACTGCAGCATCCTGATTGGAGTGAAGGAGTTCATAATGAGTATAATGCTTTTATGAAGAACGATACATGGGAGTTGAAGCCTCTGCCATCTACAAGCAAAGCAGTGGGTTGCAAGTGGTTTTTTAAAGTGAAAATGAAGCCTGTTGGGTCGGTTGACAGGTTTAAGGCTCGTCTGGTGGCCAAGGGTTATTCACAAATGGTGGGGAGAGACTTCTCTGAGACGTTTAGTTCAATTGTTCGAGCAAGCACAATAAGGACTGTGCTGGCTGTTACTGTCATGAAGAATTGGCCACTTAGACAAATTGATATTAATAATGCATTCCTCAATGGGAAGTTAACTGAGGAAATTTACATAAATCAATCCCCGGGGTTTGAGCAGAAGATTGAAGATGGGCAGGAATTGGTGTGTTGTTTAAAAAGGCACTTTATGGGCTTAGGCAAGCTCCTAGAGCATGGTTTGAGACCTTGAGGAAATTTTTGGTTGAAAGCCTTGGTTTTACTGTTTCAAAAGTTGATTCCTCCCTGTTTATCAGAAATTCAGCATGCTCTCAAGTGCTTTTAATGGTGTATGTTAATGATATAGTAATCACTGGAAACCAGGAAATGGAAGTGGATGCCATAGTGCAAGCTATCAATGAGGAGTTCTCTCTTAAAGACTTGGGTCAGTTAGAGCTCTTCCTTGGAATGCAAGTTGAGCATACTTCAGAAGGTTTAATTTTGAATCAGAAGAAGTATATTTCTGATTTGTTGAAAAGATCAAGTCTAGATGAATCAACACATATACCTACTCCTATGGTCCTTACTCCCAAGCTTAAGGCAAATGATGGACGGTTGTTTGGAGATGTCCATTTTTATCGTAGCATTGTGGGATGATTGCAATATATGTGTTTAACAAGACCTGACATAGCATATGTTGTCAACAAAGTTAGTCAATA